TTCTGCATCATTCAATAATTTGCCCAGTGAATCTTTCAATAACGAAAGTCAAGGCTTATTAAGAATAGGTGTTGAATTTTTGTTGCGTGACTTTTCTGCATCAATCAGTGTGGTCATGTGATTCTTTTCCTTTTTTTATTTATATGGTGGAATAAGTTGATTGTTTTTCTAATTTTGAATCATCATTACATCCCTGGTATGAATCCCACTTGGTCCATTTTTTTTATGTTGTTGAATTCTATTGGCTAGGATTTTGTTGAGAATTTTTACATCTATGTTCATGAGGAATGCTGTTGTACCGTGGAGTCGGTTCCGACGCATAGTGACCCTGCACAGGGTTTCCGAGGCTATAAATCTTTATGGGAGCAGAACACCTCATCTTTCTCCCGTGCAACTGCTGGTAGTTTTGAACTGCTGACCTTGAGGTTCGCAGCCCAACTCGTAACCACTATACTACCAGAGCTCCTTTCGTGAAGAATAGTGGTCTATAATTTTCTTTTTTAGTGATGTCCTTCCCTGCTTTTGGTGAGGTTTATGTTTATTTCATAAAATGTAATAGAAAGTTTTCCATCCTTTTCTATATTCTGGAATAGTTTGAGTAAAACTGGTGTCAGCTCTTATCTGAATGTTTGGTAGAATTCACCAGTAAATCTGTCTGGGCTGGGACTATTTTTGTTGGGAGTTTTTTGATGACCTGATCAATTTCTTCATTTGTTATAGGTCTGCTCAAGTTTACTACTTCACTCTGTTTAAATTTAGGTAGGTCATGTTTTCCTCAAAATGCATCCTTTTCCTCTTGATTTTCAAAGGTTGGGGTAGAGCTCTTCATAATGTTCTGTTATTACCCTTTTTATTTCCACTGGTTCTGTTGTGACATCACCCATGTGGTTTCTTATGTGTGTTATTTGTGTCTTCTCCCTCTTTTCTTTTGTTAGATTTGCCAGTGATTTGTTGATTTAATTAATACTTTCAAAAAGCCAGAGTCTTGTCTTGCTGATTGACATAGTCCAATTTTGTTGAAATATTCTGGTCTAGTATTTTCAGCAAGTTAGAAAATAAAAAATTTATCTGCAAATAATGAAACAATATGGCCATGGTTAGCTTAAAAAATTTAATACTGAAAAATACAATGGGAATTAATTACAAAATTAGTGCAGAGCCAAATAAAGTTCAGTTCATTAATTATTAAAAAGATAACTTATTTTTAAAGTCCTAGTGTGGAACTGGACTGCTAACCAGAAGCTTGGTGGTCCAAACCCCCCAGCTGCTTCCTGAAAACCCTATACAAGGTCGATGAGTTGGAACCAACTTGACATCACTTAACAAAAACAATCCTGTTTTTGAACTTTTATATAAAACATATTTAATCTTGAGACACATTATTATATAATTAGGATATGCTCAAGAGCATATTATGACCATTAAGGATTTAAGCATCTGAATAGTAATGAAAACGCTTTGAGTAAACAATGAGAATTCCCCAGTTAAAACCATTGACTTCGATGTTACTAGATTCAGAGGAAACAAAGTGATAATGAAGTTCACAGTTAAAACAATAACATTAGAACATAATTAGAACATAATACTATGTGTTGTTATCTAATAGACAGAAATAAAAGAGGAACACGATCGTATAAATTTTTAACACAAATTAAAGCAAGCACTTCTGATTTTACAACATGTTTCATGTAACAGCACATTACAAAAGCTTCTTGTTACGTTTTCACCTTTCTCTTTACAAGGAATCAACAGATCTTCTCTGGCTTTCCACAGATTAAAAATGGTCAGAAATCTCATCGATGAGTGAGATGGATAGTTTAGAATG